AAATTTAGAAGTCTATTATGCCAGGACACACGACTCTGGATCAGGACAGAGACGCATTGCAAGTAAACAAGTCAAGAGTAAGCGAGGTAGGGAGTTGTTGGCTTAGAACTTAGAGGTGGCCAACAGATCCATTAAAAAAGCTTATGATTACAAACCAAAACCAATGTTTTTTGTGCCAAAATCTTTTTGGTTTTCTTCCGAAGCATAATTAGTGGTCTTTTTTAATGGTATAACTGTTGGCATAAATTCAAAGTCACCTACCGCTATTACTCAGTACAAGGAGAAAAACAGAAAGGGTTTCATTGCCAGATGGAGCATATATATCTGTGGGGCTTGGTTCTTTTTCATGAAAGCTCGACATCCACTTTCTATGGGGTTGGCTGGCTGTATGCCTTGTGGATTCAATTGAAAGATCAACAAGTGCACTAAACCTAATTTCCGCAAGTGACAGCCAAAGCTAGTTAGTTATGAATTGACATAAATTGATTAATTTATGTAGCAGCTCCTACTAATAATGGGCATATAGTTGGGATAATTTATAGTTGTAAATTACGGAAGAATTATCTATGATAAGTAGTGTTGATTTTGTGTATATGTCCAAAACGACGTCGATTTAGCGTTTATGAGTTAAGTGTTTGGGATTCAAAATTTAATATTTAATAATTATATATATAAAAAAATTAAAACGACGTAAATATAAACACAATATTAACACTGAAAAAAAATAAGTACAAATGACCTGATAAAAAATTACTAGGGCAACTCTCCCTCTTTACCTGATAACATAATTTTTTCATCCCAAAAAAAATTTGCACAAATCTGTTTACTCAGTTCATCTATCATATTATTCTCAAACTCTATGTCACCTTTTTTTTTCTTTTGGATTAAAGTTTGTAGTAACTAGAGAGATAGGGGGTTGGTGGATATTGCCATGGGCAATGGACAGTGCCTTGTATGGCAGGATTGGCACCCACAATGATCTTTCGTTTTTGTCCTTTCATGTTGTCCTTGAGAGTGATTTATCCTAAATTTAATTTGTAATAAAAATAATTTGTCTCTCTCCTTCTCTGCTTTGTAGCAAGAGAAATTATTAAAAGAGTGAGATAATCAATTCTTATGTTGTGATGTGAGTGGAAGAGAATCTAGTTGCTACTTGCTAATACTATTCCATGTATCTCATAATATCCACAAAAAACAATGGATGATTGTTAAAAATTTAAATAAAAATATATTCTAGAAATCATTGTGTTCATGACTGTGTTTATAGTTCTATGTGTCCATCAGGCTTAGTGGGCTGTCCCAAAGCATGAAGTTATAGTTTTGGGGACCTTCCAAATGCACTCAGTAGCCAATTTTTTTTAATTCTATATGTGTTAGTAAGCACATGAGAAATAAAAAATCAGAATAATTCTAATATACATTTAAATTAGGTAAACATGGAAGGGACTTGTAACTGAAGTAGTTAAGAGCAGTTATTTTTGCACTTGAGGTCTTGTATTCAAATCCCCCCTCCATTTAAAACCACCGATTGGAAAATTAAACCAAGTCTCTCCATGACGAACTCTCTGGAATGTTTTGGTGGAAGCTGTGTGATAAATGCCCTCTACTTGAAGGTGTTTCCGGTCCCAAATTGATTGAGAAACTGTTTTCTTGCATGATCTTCTTGTAGCGTTTTATGCTTATCTTTAACTCCAAGCAGGGGCGGAGCCACAGAAAGGCCTGCCATGGCCTTGGCCCCCCATTTAATTTTCAATCTCTTGTAATATATTATAAAATATATGATATAGCAAGACAATTACTACAATTAGATTAGTGCTGGCCAGTTGAAGATGAAAAACCTATGTGAAAGTGATTTTGAAATTTTGACCCTTCCATGTTATTCTTAATGAATTTGAAAGACAATTAGGCAGGTTATTGCCCACAGTTGATGGGCCTAACCATCTATCAAAGTGTTCAAGAATTAAAATTAATTATCGCGGACCCAATGGGCTTTCACTATAAGACCACCTCAAGCAGCAACTATTCATCTAGCACTTTACTTCCGCTGTCACAGAATCAAATGAACGAACATTTTTTTTCTTCAAAACAATCAACTGAAATTAGAAGCAACAATAGAACAACCAGCCAGCCGCCCACCAGAATACATACTAGAATCGTAGATTTATCAACCTCAGACGATATATACAGTGTCTTGACTGCGTGCATCCTCCTACTGTCTACATGATAATAATATCAGAGATATTGATCAAAAAACAACAGACAAAATCTACCGTGGATGATGATGGAATACTCGATGGTACATAGCGATAAGTGGTTAATAACCACTAGTTTGGATTCACTACGTAATGTTTTCCATGACCGATCATTTTTACGTCCTCATTAAAAAGATTATTCTTGCAAAAATTTACTCAAATTGGAAAGTTTTTAATTATTTAGATGTAACTAAATAAATAGAAGAACAAACCATGAGATGTGGTGTGGTGGTAGCTCACCTCATCCCTTAACCATGAGGTTAGGAGTTCGATCCCCGCCCATGGGAATGGAACACATTTCGTGGCCAGCTGTTTACCTCCTTTGGGAGAGCTCCCGCAGCGAAAGGGATTAGTCACTGCTGTCGGCGGTGGACACCCTTGGGTCTAACCAAAAAAAAATAAAATAAATAGAAGAACACAATTTATTTGATATACAATGAAATTCCCACGGTCATAATCAAATGTCTAAATAATTTTTGATTTGAATGAAACTTTGCATAAATAATTCATGAATGAGGACTTAAAAACATGAATGGTTCGGATCATTAGATTGCGTAGTAGAATAGGTCCAATCAAGTATTTAACATAGTAACACTTGAGCGTTTTTATATACATATATATGTATATATATATATATATATATATAAAGCAAAAGGCAGAGAATGGTGAAACATTCAAAATACCAGAAAATGTCCTTAGTTAATCTAAACATTAAGAATTAAAATTATTAATTAAATAAAGATAATATGGTAAATTCACACTTTTTCATATTAGAAATATCAAAATTAAAAGAAAAATCAAATAATGAATCCTATTTTTATGGAACACAACTACCCATTATTTTTTTAAATTCTAAAATAAATTAAATGTTTTTATTTTAAAAAAGCCTCTCGCAAGAGCATAAGCGTGTGCAGAGAGGCTAGTATATATATAAAGCAAAAGGCAGAGAATGGTGAAACATTCAAAATATAAGAAAATGCCTTGGTCAATTCAAACATTAAGAATTAAAATTATTAATTAAATGAGGATAATATGGTAAATTCATATTTTCATATTAAAACAATTTAAATTTAAAATTTAAAATAAAATCAGATAATATGTCCTACTTTTATGGAACATAACTACCCACATTATATTTTCTTAATTCTTAAAAAATAAAAATAAAAATAATAAAATAAAAACCAATTACACATGTGCTAAGAGGCTAGTATTATATTATATCATTACTATTTGGCTTTTTCAAGGAAAAAGATGGCAAAAGGAAGGAAATCCATTTTCTCATTCATGTGGTATATAATGGGTTAGTTTATCTGCTCCATCATTAGGGTCACCATGTTTCCTTGTTGGGGCTTCTCTCTCTTTCTACTTTCTGCGTTCTTTCTTCGTTTTTTAAAATTGATCAGTTATGTGACAGAAGATGAAAATATGGTTTGCTTTATTCGATTTTTTTATTGGTGTTATACAAAGTCTACATTAATACATACACTCTATATCTGCCTTGAATAATTTCCCCGAGTTTTGACCAAGACAAAAAAACAATCCTCAAATAAAAAACAACAGAAGAAAATTAAAATAAACTATCAATTTCTAACACACCCACACAACTAAGATGTCAAGATTATTTTCCACTGAGGTATACCCCGTTGGCCACGTATTCTTTTTAATATGCAATTAACAGTACAAGTATTTTGAAATTTTGGGGAAATTGCCAAGTGGTAAGAGTACTAATAAGAATAATGTCCTCTTGCTGCCAGCTTAACAATTTGAACTTTACAACCCACTGTGGAATTTGGAAATTGCCACGAATTTGGACCGCCGCAGGTCATGTTTTACTCGCAGAGGCTTTTCCATTTGTGTTTTTTTATTAAAGGAGAAGGAAAAGTATGGATCAAATCAACCCTAAAGAGTAAAGACCGTGGGCAGCTGACTGTTGAATTTATAACATCAGGAAATTTCTTGGATGGAGTTTCTGTGAACTAACAACCAAAGTCATGCCAGTTTGTTTCTTTGTTGTTACATATGAAATTTGTCTTATTATTATGCTGCAGACACAACACAATATTCACCAACTTCGACATGAACTGCATAACAACAAAATAGAAATATTATGGAGAATCAGATCTAAAATACTTGCATCAATACAAAATTAAAGTGATATAATATTATACAAAAATGATCTTTTGCCAGATTGTGTGCCTAACAAGATGTTTATGTTGCAAGTCCTGTGAATATTAACCTTGACCAAGTTGATTCTCGTCGAACGTATATATGATTCATGTTCATAATTTTTGACATCATAAACTTCCGTCTCACAACACGAATTTGTCAAGAGAACGTTACTATATATAAATGTTAAATGAACATCCCAAACCTCTAACTATTTGAAGTTCAAGTTGTTTTGTGTTAAGAACGATAATATTTTATTAATAAGATAAACAAAAACAAGTACAAAGATAATGTTTATTATGCGAATTAAATCTTGAATCCTAAACCTAAACAATAGAGTTTCGATAAAAATTGAAGCACTGTTAATGCCCTGTAGTTGGATTCAAATGACCTGTATGTATGATTGCAGGATATATAGTTGTACAAAAACACTGGTATTACACAAATAGTACAAATCTTTAATTTCCTTTTGTCAGCTTTCTGATGTAAAATTGTGATCAGAAATCTGCTACGTACACTCTAATCTATATCAAGAACAATTCCAAAAAATAATGAAGAATAAAAATATTAACAACTTGGCCTTCAAAACACCCGATTAGGCACCCTGATCTCTCTCACAGTCCTAGAATGCACCAAACTCTCTTCCCTCCGCTTACTTCTGGGACGAAGCAACTTCGACCAAAACCTACTTTTCTTCTTCTCCTCGCTGCCCTCTTTCCCTCTCATTCTCCTTGGAAAATAATTAACCAGCGACCTACTTTTAGTGAGCACATTATTGTCACCACTCAGAAACCAAGAAATGGGGCCCTTTTGCTCATATCCCGGTGCCGGAGACGACAAAGAAGAACCCGAAGAGGATGAGTCATACGAAGATAAAGACGACGTCGTCGAAGGAGAGGTGATTCTACGTAGTAGAAGTGGCGAGCCAGAATAAGTTGACAGCTTTTGAGCAAGCCGTTCAAGCTTTTCTCTCAAGCACAAGCTGCAAACGCCGGGCGATTGTTGGTGCTTTGGGTGCTTCTTGCACCGGGCAATATCGGGCTTTCTTGTTTTGGATGATCTCCTTAGCTTCTCCATTTTTGGTCATGTAAGCTGAGGTGTGGGATTGTTTGTGTCAAAATATATAGAGAGATATTATGGTTGGTGTGTTTCCATGTTAGTTCATGCGAGCTTCTTTGGGTTTTCTTTAAAATACCCTTTTTTGACGAGTTGGAGAATTTGAAAAAATGTTGGATACGGAGGACCAAGTGGAGGGCTGTGATTTGATGGGAGGGTGTGTGGGGTCCACTTGGAATTGGAAGTCGGTGGCTGTGATGCTTGCGCGGAGGATAACTGTGTGAGGAAATGGCCACTGGGGATAAAAAAAAGAGAGGGGAAATTTCCAAGCTTTCTCGGGGGGGCGGCGTGGAAAAAGGATAAAGCGCGAGCGTGGACGGGATCAAAGTAGGAGACGACGACGTTTCGATGTAGGGAATGTGCGGAAGTATATTAAAAGGACATTGGTCATGACGTATACATTGTTTGTTTTTTTTTATAAGAACAGGAAAATTCTTGTTTACAAATTTCGTGTTTGTTAGTCAAATGTCAAAACACATGCCATTGACAAAATGACAATGTTGGAACAGTATATGGAAAAAAGATTAGTAGTAATAGTACAAGTAAATAAATAACTGCTAGTAATTTATAATTAATCTTAATGGTTGGTTGGTGATCCCTAAAGACTAAACATGGGTTCTAAATGCGGTGGTTGTTGTATGTAATTTCACAAAGAATAAAAGAAAGAAAAATCCATATATTCTCATGCATTTAGACATATTAAAAATGTGATCAACAAAATAATAGTGGTTAGTTGGTCACTCGGTTGGGTTTTGTTTTCTTTTTTCTTGTGGTACAATTAAAATGTGTAACCTAGTAAGTTTTGTGAGTTATTCCAACTTCATCTATATAGTTAGATGTTCGAAATCTTTAGACACTCAATAAATATTTTTGTAAACCCCATCCCCAATCGCTTGTGCTAAAAAAAATTGCCTAGCTAATAGTTGCTACTAGCAAAGGTTCTTTGATCCCTTTTTCCATGTCTACTTCAGTCCCGAGTGGAAACGCAGCACTAGAAACCAGCTTGAGCCCAGAAAAAAAAAAACAAAAAAAAAAAAAAAAAAAAAAAAAAAAAAAGCTTAGCTGTTGCTCAGAAAATAATATAACATGTGCATATTGGTTGAGAGTTGAGAGACTAGAGATAATGACAATAATATTGAAAAAGTGGGCCAAGAATGAATATGAACAGTGTGAACTTTGCATGCCGAAATGGTCAAACAAGGCTATAATACAACCAAGGTTTGCTGTGTTGGCGAGGGCATCAGCTTTTGGTCTACCAATCTGATGACAGTGATTTTTTTTTCATTAAATAGCACGCGGAAAACCAGGTCCCTTGACAGTGGGATTGGATTCCTTCCAGCCAGGAAAACCAACCTCATGTGCTTCTTCTTCATCCACACCTTTTTTTTTAAATAAACACGCAATGCAAACAAAAGCTCTCATCTCATCTCTCTCATGGCATGGGCTTTAGGGAAATAAACGTGTATATTTTGTCTGTCCTTTACACTCCCAGCTGGTCCCTGCAATTCCTGCAATTTATTATTCAGCCAAATGGCCACTTTGCTGGCATCTGGCACTGGCAAGGGCTCTTCTTAACGCGCATGCCCCAGAATTTGATTATTTCTATCTGTCATTCTTTCTGTTTGCTCTAAATTCAAGCAGTCGAGGTTGAAATAGCACTATAAAATATGGTTCATTGGGCCAACCTTTTGTTTTATTGCAGAGTAAAAGTGGAAGGTCCAATGGGAAACACAAGTTAAAGAGAATGAGCGACATTGGGCCCAATAAAGCAAGAATCGGTTGCGACACAAGTGGTGTGAAAATCCCTTTGGTGAACGTGAATGTTCACTCTAAGATAAATAATTAATCCACCAGGCGCATTTTCATTTCTTGAAAATGCAAATTCGTTTTCTTGTTTTCGATCTCTTAAAATATTCTAAGAAAACATTCTCCGAAAACGTTACCGGACGGGCCCTTATAAATTACATAATGTAAATTTTAGCCCACCCCATTTTGAAATCCTGAATCTGTTCATAGAAGAGAACATAGTAGAGGGGAGGGAAGAGGAGTAGTAAAAGGATGAAGGCCACTGACCCTGAATGGGGGCGTCTGTGGCAGAAACTGTTCTCACCTTAGGGTTTTCTCTTGAGGCTGGTGGCTAAAACTTTTCTTAAGGTCTCCCCAATAGGATTTGTATCTAAGGCTCAACCACCATAGGGGTGGACAAAATAGAGCCCATGCACAAAAACCCATTCCCAAAAAACCATTTTGGGCCTCTAAAAGCCCCAGTACACCGGAGTGCCGCATTCATGTCCGTAAATATATGGACTTGGCTACAGCTCACGTTTATGCAATAGGGCACGCCACTTCAGGCACCAGCAACTTGCTTTTAATTTTTTTTGGTGCTAGTATTTATAGGTGTCTCTAGTGAAGTACCTTCGAATTAAGCTGTAGAGGAAAATTGCAATAGTTAATATTAATTCAAATAATACTCGAGTATATATTCTGCAAGCCAATCCGATGAAGTTATGGTTATTAGTTGAGTCAAATATAAAGCAATGCTTAAACCAAGAAGAAAGGTTTATCATCAACTTACAGTCTTCCATCCTAACTCACAGCGCAAGGTATGAAACTGCCAAACAAGAACCTCACCAACTCAGTCTTACATCCTACTCAAAAATAAATGAACACGAACTTAATTCGCAATTACAACAATAAACGAACAGATCAGATGCTTGTCTCTCAGCCTGGTTATTTAATTGATTCAGCAGACTCACTAGTCTTGACCTCTCTGGGGCACTGGGATACATACGGTTTGAGCTGCAAGCAAGAAGGGGAAAAGTAATTCAGAACTACATGTATGCTTATAAGAGTGAGAAGTAGTTTGCTTAGTTAAAACTTCAATGCATCAATTTAAGTAAGAATAGTTTGAAGTGTGCGATAGCAGAGCCGCAGCATGCATCTTCCAATTTCCATTTGGCACCTCTAATTTACAGATAAAAACTATAAATGCTAAATGCAACAAAAGAATGAAGAAGAAAGAAACAAAGAAATATGTTCACCTTGAAGTCAGTTAAATCAGGGACTACATAGTTAGGTAATTTCTCCTGCTGCACGACATACTTAGCTGCAAAAAATTTGGGCAATTTGGATAACATGTCAAGTAGTAATTCCTACCCTTAAAAAATTTGATTGAACCCCTTGTCAAAATTGCAAAAATGGAAATAGGGCAAACCTTTTCGGGTGTGGAAACCAATGGGCTTGCAATTCTTCCCCTTGTAGTAATCCCTTGGGGCACGTTTGGAGGAAAGAATGTCAAGGGATGATGTGCGCTTTCGACGAAATGCCCTTCCTAACCCTAGTATTAGTCCCAATGCCATTTCTTCACTTCTTCTAACAACAAATTAAATTAAAACCAATTATAAAACATGCTTGAAACCATAAATACATGCTATATAATCAACAAAGATATCAGCGAGAGAGAGAGAGAGAGGCATTTCCTATTCAAAAAGGACCAAGAAAACTGTGGTGAAGACAATATTACCAAGTCATAACTACATTCAACAAGTTTTTATACCTCATTGTCTATACAATCAAGTTATGTTAGATTCTAAGAGAATATTAGCAGCATAGCTTTTCTATGACATAACAAACTAATGAATGTATAAATAAATCCTAAGTTTTAACAAATTCACTCAATTTACCTTACATATAAATCCTATGGGAGTAGGAAAAAGACATAGGATTGCAATATACTTGTCTTCATACTAATTCTTTAGCTAAAACAATTACACAATAAGTTCAACGTAACTCTCTGCTCGGGCATAACCTGTATCACTCAAACAGACAAATACACAAACACCTTCAGCTCATCCCCACAAGCAAGTAAACTTGGCCTATTGATTTGATTTTTGATTCATGGCACTACGTACTGCCAATCAAATTACTGATAAAATGCAAAGTTCTAACCAAGCCTGGACCCAATTAAAAAAACACTTCGGTTTCCAAGGGAAAAATTCAAAAAGATATGAGATTCAAGCAATTTCATTCCTAAGGGCAAGACCCAGTTCATGATTTTGGCTTTGGCTAAAGAAAGCCTCTTCATTTTCCCTCAAAGATTCACAGAGTAAATAATATTATTCAACAAATTTCACGAATGAACGAAAAAAAAATAGAAAAAATGGCAATGATAGATAGCAGATGATACCTGAACAATGAGAAGTGAGGTTCTGATGTCGACGATGTCGTGCAGATGATGATTCTGGGTTTTTGGGTGTGACTCTGCCACTGCAGAGGGTTTAGGGCTTTTCTGCTGAAAAATAATTGGGGAAAGCGAGCAACGACATATGGGCAAGGCCCATAACTCAGGTGGGTTGGGTTTGTTGGATTAAATTATTATACTAATAAAGAGACTTTCATTTTCTTTTCTGTTTTTTAATGGAAACAAGATAAAGAGACTTTTAATGTCCTAATTTCAATAATAAAAAATATTAATGGTGTTTTATTTGCTAAATGTAATGATTTTTTTGGTGGACAAAACTATAAAGGATGTAAAAGGAATTCAGTTTTTTCACAACAAATTTTCAACTGTTTGACACTCCAACTCATTTGAGAGAGCTGAAAAGGAAAAACAAATTCAAAAGAGTCAAATATTGAAGTCTTTTTCCAAAAATAAAATAAGGTAAGAAAATAAGAGTGAATATGAAAAGCAAAAAAAGAGAGAATGTTATTAGCATATCATTTTGAGTTCGTGACTTTAGAAGTAAACAATTTACTTCACATTCACGACAAGAATTTGACTCTCGCTCTTCTCCTATTTTTATTATTTAAATTCAACAATTGATATCTAACTTCTGATAAAAACCCCTTCTTCTTTTTTGTTGTTATAACAGGTTTGTGATAGATTAGAACCCATGATTATTCATATATATTCTTTCCAAGGAAAAGGAAGAAGGCCTATAATCCCTTTTTTTTTCATTCAA